ATGAAATACCATATGGTGATTTGTCTAATGCACAAATTCAACAAAAAGTAGTAAGTGGAGAAAGACTTCCATTAGATAAACCCTTCCCAAATGGTATTGCTGAATTAATAGAAAAGTGTTGGGATCAAGACCAAAGCAAACGTCCACGATTTGATGTGATAGTATCTAAATTAAATGATATTATCAAGGATTATTCACAGTAAATCTATTGTTTCCTTGAATTTCAAACTTTTTTTTTCATTTTTGTCTCATATTATTTCCTATAAGAAGGGTTTTCTTTTCATTTTGAATTAAACTATTCTCATGAAGTTGTTGTTTGTATGTTTAGGCAACATTTGTCGATCTCCTGCTGCAGAAGCAGTTATGAAAAAAGTAATTCAAAATCATCACCTAACTGAAAAATATATATGTGACTCTGCAGGAACATGTTCATATCATGAAGGACAACAAGCTGATTCTCGAATGAGAAAAGTAGGAAAGTCAAGAGGTTATCAAGTTGATTCAATTTCACGACCTGTTGTTTCGTCTGATTTCAAAAACTTTGATTACATTTTTGCAATGGATAATGATAATTATTACGAATTACTTGATAGATGTCCTGAGCAATATAAACAAAAAATATTCAAAATGGTTGATTTTTGTACTACTATTAAAACAACTGAAGTTCCTGACCCTTACTATGGTGGAGAAAAAGGTTTTCATCGAGTCATTGATATTCTTGAAGATGCTTGTGAGAATTTAATCATTAAACTAGAAGAAGGAAAACTTATTAATTAAATTCTTCTTTCGTTTTTATTTCTTTTTTTTTTCTAGTCACAAAAGGAAGTTATGTTTTGGTTGTATAGAAAGAATTAAACTAAGAATAAAATTTCTATAATAAAGATTATAAATAATAATTATCTTTTCTTATGCATCTTTATTTTTTATATTCAAAAAATATCATAGTATAATTCAATTAGTTCAACTACACATAGTATGTGAATAGAATAATTATTTGATTTAATTTCATACATCACTTTAGAATATAGTAAAAGTCCAATACCATATACTAAAATTAAACAACTCTAATATAATAAAACTAAATATAGATTTTTATATTAAAATAGTTGAAAAATTAAGAAAAAAACAAAGAATTTTATATCTTATTCTAATTAATAGTTGTTTTATAACTTTTGTATTTTCTAACATCAAAATATATATTGAGATTGAATTATATACAAAAGAATCTCTTTATTCATAAAATTTAGTTATTATATTTCTTTGTAATATCTTACATTATGAAATGAAATACCAATAAACAAAAATAGTAAATTTGAATGATTAAAACACAATTAATCTTATTCCTTAATAATAAACATTTTAAATAAGAATTTATGAAATAAAAGACTATTTTCATAGAACACAAATAGTATCTATAAAAATAATTTCCAACTAAATGTATTCAAAATCAAATAATTCATATCAATAAATGTATATAACAACTGAAATATTAGAATTTCATATTCTCTTTTATTTATTTAATATAGTTTGTTGATAATAATTGAAAAAGAAATGTTTTTCTTTATTTTTATAAGTATAAAACAAAATAAATGCTAAATATGAAACAAATATTTTTTGAATTTTTTTTGTTATAAAAAAGATGATAAATTTTGTTTTTGATTCTTTTAAAAAAGAAAAAAAAAAATCAAATAAAAGGGTAAAACAATGGATAAGGTTATCATTGCAGAGAAAAGTGGAAATATTGAAAATATTGAAATTGCTATCACTGAAATACTTAAGAAAGATCCAATTAATAAAGAGGCAATTCAACGATTAATTGCTCTTAGAATTCAACAAGGAAATAATGATGAGGCAATATCTTTATTACAAAAGTATAATGAAATTTATATGGAAACACAAGCCTTTGTTCAATTAGCTGAATTGTATTGTACAGAAGTTAGATATAATGATGCATTTGATATTATGCAAGAAGTTGTAATGATGGAACCATCTAACTTTTATATGTGGCAATTTGCTGGTGAAATTGCCCTTCAATTAAATGCAGTGAAAGAAGCACGAAAAATGTTTTTAAGTGCTTGTAAGTTATCTGATTATAAATATGTTCGTGCGTTGAAATCAACTGTTTTTGTGTTAGGTCTTTCAAAAGAATCAAAAACAAAGAGTGAAGCAATTGCAGCTCGTTTACAACAATTACTTGATGAATATCAACCTTCCATTGATAAACAAAAACGAAACTTCTTCTAATTTGAATTTTTGTTATTCTTAAAAAAAACTACTAATTAATAAAATGGTTTTAAATAGTAATAATATAGTTTAAGGAAAAAAAAATAAAAACTTTAAAAAAAAACAAAAGAATATGGTTTGTTTATTACCCAAGAATTTTGCTGCATTATTTGTTCCTGATGAACCTATAAGATTCCTACCACCTGTAGAGAAACATTGGTTCCCAAATTATTCAGGGGTTTCATCATATTTAACAATGTTTGATGAATTAACACCAAATAATGAAAAAAAGACTGAAGAAATTGATTCATTTGCGCCAACTTGGACTAAAAGTGGATTACGTGAGTTGAGATTCCTTAAAACAAAAGAAGAAAAAGCACAATCACTTCGTACTCAAATTCAAACGTGTTTGTTTTTTGTTTTACTAATTTATTTTATAAGGTTCAGAACAACAATCGATCTTCATTCTATGAAGTGATTGAAAGCCTGATATCATTCTTGAAAGGAATTAGTTTGTTCGTCTTTCAAATTGAAGTATGATTGAAATACTTATTAATATAGGGGATCCTACACATAATTTAAAAGCAACTGATAATCCAAATAGAACTATCGTTGTTCTTCGTTTACCAAAGAAAACAGATGAGTCAATATTACAACGACTATTTAGTGAATATGGTGAAATAAAAAAAATTGTGATAATAAAAGATTTAAAAGGTATAAATAAAGGATATGCATTTGTTGAATATAATCATCGAAGTGAAGCAGAAAGAGCATGTAGAAGAGCTAATGGAATGAGAATTGAAGAAAAAATAATTGTTGTTGAAATGGAAAAAGGAAGAACAGAAGAATCATTTAAACCAAAGAGACTAGGAGGTACTATTGAAAGAAGATGTAGTGAAGATAAAAGAAGAAATGAAAGTCCTATGAGAAGAGAAAGAGGCTATTCTCCTTTTGAAAAAAGAGAATTTGCCTATCGAAGTGATGACCGTAGAGGAGACCATCTCTTGGATAGAAGGGATGATGACTATAGAAAGTCAGGATATAGGACTAGTAGATATGAGCGAAGAGTAGATAGAAGAGATTATAGAAACGACCGCTTTGAACGAAGAGATGATTATAGAACAACTGATAGTAGAGACGATTATAGAACAACTGACCGTAGAGATGATTATAGACAGAGTGATCGTAGAGACGATTATAGACCTGGCGATCGTAGGGATAATTACAGACCAAGTGACCGTAGAGATGATTACAGAGCAAATGATCGTAGGGATGACTACAGAGCAACTGACCGTAGAGATGACTTTAAACTGAATGAATATAGAGATGACTATAGACCAAGTGATCGTAGAGACGATTATAGACCAAGTGAAAGTAGGGATGACTACAGACCAAGTGATCGTAGAGATGATTACAGGGTAAATGATCGTAGAGATGATTATAGAACAACAGACCGTAGAGACGATTATAGACAGAGTGATATTAGAGATGACTACAGAACAAATGAACGAAGAGATGATTATAGAACAACTGATCGTAGAGACGATTACAGAGCAACTGACCGTAGAGATGACTACAGACCAAGTGATGGTAGAGATAATTACAGACCAAGTGACCGTAGAGATGATTATAGAGCAAATGATCGTAGGGAAGAATATAGACCAAGTGATCTTAGAGATGAATATAGACCGAGTGATAGTAGGGATGAATATAGACCGAGTGATCACAAAGACGAATATAGACCAGGTGAACGTAGTGATCGGTTTGAGCGAAGAGGGAATGGAAGTAGTAGCTATAGAGAAGAAAGGAAATGGTGATTTCACAAAAATATTCTTAATTCATTTATTTTTGAATACTAGTTATTTTGAGGTTATTAGAACAGACTATGTGATGAACAGTTTAAGGAGAGTAACTCCTAAATAAGATAATAGAAAGAAGAAACTGGAATAAGGAAAATTTATTTAAAAGATGAAACTAATCAATATGGAATTAGAATAATATAGAAGACGTTAATTTTTAATAAAATTAGTACTAAAAAAGAAGAAGCAATAAAAAACAATGATAAGACTTATGATGGATGGTTAAGAAAATCCTAACTCCAAAACTTAATAAAACTAAATAATAATTTATTATTGTAAATATTAATTGTATATACTCTTATTAAAATCTCCAAAAAATAATATTTACTAACTCAATGAATTATTAAAGCTAACTAGTAAATAAAAGATAAGATATTAGATATAATAGTGTAAGATACGTATTGAACAAAAACAACTTTTGAACCAGAGAATGTAATTTATTTATAGAAAACAGAAGTATTTTATAAATTAAATTACAATGAAAGACAACACTGATACTATGAAATGGATCAATTACAATATTGTGTTATTATTTAAAATTTAAATAATATTATGATAAAAGCGAATGAGTAGAGAACAAAATAAGTTGTTGAGTACCAGATATTTTTAGGATTAGTTAAAACAGTTTCTTAATTAATGAAAATAAAACAGATGTAATGAATTAAGGAAATTTTAAAAAATTCATTTTTACTAGACTGTACAAAAAGAATATTCATTCAATTCATAAATAAATAAATGTAACTTCAAGAAGTGAACAAAAAATAATAAAAGGATAATAAAATCAATAAAAGTTTTTAAAGTAATAATATTTTCTAAAATAAAAACCCAAATCAAAAAGATGAGATGAATCATTTTGAATATGAAACGAGAATCTTAACTTTGTTAAATTATAATCTACTAACATTTTCTATTAGAATCACTCAGTTTAAGTATTTTAGATTGTAAATAGTTCCTCCAAAAAAAGATGGAATTATCAAAAACCATTAGAATATATTTAGTTGCTTTTTTAATATTATTGATTGTTACACTAATTATTGTTTCTTTGTCTGCATTTTTTCAATCACAATGGCTTATGTATTTTCTTGAAGTTAGAAACCCAGATGCATTATTTTATTTTGATCGGAATTGTAAAACAAAAGCAATAGCTTTAACTTTTGATGACTCTCCTTCAGGAGGCACAAAATATCTTCTTCAAGTTCTTAAAAGAAATAATGCGACTGCAACTTTCTTTATGTTAGGAAATAAACTTCAAATGTTAAATGGGTCATATCGTTATTATCCAAAATTTCGAGAAGATATTTTACGTAATGGAAATGATGTTGGGAATCATATGTTTAACAAATTTGCAGCATATAAAATGACTATGGAAGAATTTGAAGAACAAGTAAAAAAAGTTTGGTCATTCAATTTATATTCAAATTTAGATATTAACAGTTATTAGACTGACGCTTTATTAAAATTGGGATATTTGCAAAATAATAAGTATAATTGGTTCAGACCGGCGTCATTCTTTCCTTTGGGATATATGTACGAAATACTTGATAAATACAATTATACTATGGCACTTGGTACTGTTCATTCTTTTGATTTTCAAATTAGAAATACCCAATATAATCTTTTTAGTTTATTAGGTAGAATTAAACCAGGTGATATAATTATTTGTCATGACACACTTGAAACTATTGAGTATATTGAACAAATGATTATATATCTTAAACATCAAGGTTATAAGGTTCTTTCTCTTAGTGATATGTCAAAAAAATGTTCAAGTCCATTCTTAAAACAAAATAATGGTTTTTAAAACAAATTTTTATATTTTATTTTCATACCAAAAAAGTTAAAGAAATAATGAATAGAAAAAAATAATATATTAAATAGAATAAATATTAAAAGAAAGGAAAAGAATATTCTAAAGAGAAAAAGGAAGAAAAAAAGCTGTTTAAGGATTGGTAATTTTAATAGAAATATGAAAAGAAAAAAGGAACTTAGATATGAACTTAAATAGAATAAATCTCTATGGCAGCTAAAGCACACTACGATCATCTCTTTAAAATCTTAATTATTGGAGAATCAGGAGTTGGTAAAACTGCTATTATGCAAAGACTTTGTGAGGACACTTATGACAATGTATATATTTCTACTGTTGGTGTTGATTTTAAACCTAAAATATTAAATATTAGAAATAAAACTGTTAAAATGCAAATTTGGGATACTGCTGGACAAGAAAGGTTTAGAAATATTACAGCAAGTTATTATCGTAATGCACAAGGTGTTATTATTGTATATGACGTCAATGATATTGGAACATTAGAAAAAGTTGATAGCTGGTTCAATGAAGTTAAGGAACGAACTGGTGCTAATCCTCCAGTTGTTTTTCTTGTTGGAAATAAGTCAGATTCTCCAAACCCAACTGTAAGTAAAGAAATGGTTAAAAATGTTGTAAACAACTTAGGTGGTATTCCTGACTATAACTGTTCTGCTAAAGAAGGAACTGGAGTAAATGAAATATTTAATGCTTTAGCTGAAGCTATGATGGATAAATCAAATCAAGGAGGTAATGGATCAACAAAACCAAATGAACTTACAAACCTGACTGATAAACCAAAGGACAATGGAAAAGGATGCTGCTAAATTGAAATTCAACTTATGTTCCTTGTTATTTTATTTTCGTTTTTGTTCTTTTTTATCAATTGAATTTTATTTTTTACTAAAGCGTGGGTTTAAAAATAAGTTCTATAATTAACAAAACAAGTACTTTTTTGTTATGAGTCTAACATTGATTTTTTCTATTTTTACTTGAAAAGAAAGTTTAAAAATCATATCAAAATTATGATTATAAAAACATAATATCTCTGTTACACAAGATTGAGAAAATGACAAGCAAATAACGAAAAATGATGAATATCTTAAATAAAATGAAGTTCCAAGTGTATTTCTATCAAATGGACATCTATAAAGAAAAGATAGATTCATTAGTTGATAGTTTTAAACAATTAACACGTTCTCAAGTTGAAATAGTTTATGGGTTTTTTCATAATGATTTTGATAAAACATCAAAGTTTTTAATGGAAATAATTGATGATATTAAAACATTAATTCCACTAACGAATTATAAAATTACATTTGAATCAGATAAAAAACAATTACCATTTGTTCCTGAGCAATTGAAGTTTGTTAAATACAAAAAGTATCGTTTTATGACTATTGAACCAATTAAAAAAAATGGTTATAACCATTGTATTGGGTCAGTTTACTTTACTAAGTTTGAAAAGATGTCTCCTTCAGTGTTTGGGAATAAACACCAAAATGAAACAATGAATGAAAAAGATGAGTCAGTTGAAAAGGATAATGTTGAGATTCAAATGTTAGGTGGTTCAAGTTATATTGTTGAAGGGGAAACTTCTAATACTAAAATAGATAATACATTTACTAAAAGTGATACTGAAGAGGGGAAAAGCATAAATGAAAAAGATATGAAAAAAACAATTCATCCAATATTACCAGTTGATGAAATTCATCTACAACAACAAGAAAACATTATTTTGGATCATATGATTGAAGAATATATCAATACTAAGACAGTATCAACTATGACAACATTTTCACCAATTTGTATATCACCAAATGAAGATAACTCTATAGAAATGGAAGTAAAAAATAGTAATGAAAATGTTTTAGTTAAATACTCAATTCCAAGCAGGATTAAGGATGAGAAGATATGGATAGGGATATATGATAGATATGAAACAAATTCACATAACTATATTAAAAGAATTGAATTAAAAAACAAAATAACTGGGAAGATTCAATTTAATGAGATTAAAAGAGGGAAATATACTGTTCGAATTTTTGTTAGTGAAACAAATGAAGGAAATTTTCAACCTAGAAGTAGTTGTGATGTAGTTGTTGGGTCAATCGTTTTTATGACATGTAATATTATTTGTTATAATAGTAAAAGAATGTTAGAAGTAAGAGTAAGTGAAGAAGGAGAAATGGGATGGATAGGAATCTATCCATATCACCCCACAACAAGAAATGAAGATTACATCATTTGTACACCAATGAGAATGAATTATCCAATAGAAATGAATATAACAGAACTTAAAAGAGGAATTTATGAATGTCGTTATTTTAGCAAAGAATCAGGAGATGGAATATTTAGTAAAAGTTATCATTGTTCAGGTTCAAAAATATTAAACATAGACTAAAAAAGTGAATTTATTGTATTTCTAATTTACTCTTCTTTCTTCTCATCGTGTTGTGTTTTTTTGTTGGAATAAATTAAAATGGTAAGTGGTTGTTCTACAAGATATGAGAAAATGCAATAAACGACGATTGACCAAATTGAGAGGATCAATCCAGTTGATGAATAATAATACAAAGCAGAACTAATAAACAAAAGAGCACCACCAAAATACATTGGGTGTGGAACAAATCCAAATGGGAATGAAGTTATCATTCTAATTATTAATATCTTTTTGGATGTAATTGATATTTAAATCTAAAATTCAACAACAACAAACTCATCAAAAAGAAATCCAAAACAATCACCTTCATATGTTCCTTTAAATCCAAGTCTATAGAATGAACTGATAGAAAGAACCCAACCAAAAATTTGAATAGGAATAGCAACAATATTAACTAAAGTTGGAATAGAACTAAGGAATGAATCAATAGCTGGAATCATTGGAACAGCACTTGTACATGCAATATAGAAAAATATATTTCTGATGATTTGCATACTAATAATAATACACATAACAAATCTAAATCCGTTTTCTTTATTTCCATGGAACAATTGTGAAATCTTATGTGTAAAATATTCTATATGAGCAAGTGTATTCCATACAGCAGGTGAGGCAAAAATAAATAATGCAGAGAGAGTAGCATATTGATCCATAACAAATTCAAACATAGTACTCTTACTGATAAAATAAACAGTTTCTCGAGTTTATAAAGTTCGACAGGACATTTTTTCGTAAAAAAAGTTGAAACATAATTCTAAAGACTTCTAAAGAATTCTTAACAGTCAAAAACTTTCTTTTTGACCTTTTTGTTGCTTTTAAAAACTTAATTTCATCGTAGTTTTATCCCTTCCGAAAACCAAATAAAAGAATAAAAAAGAATATTAAAAGTCACTTATTGTTTGTATGGCATGCTGAAGAAGTTCTGTTATTATATATTATTACATCATTATTTGCTTCATTTATGACTCAAAATTAATCATAGATTAAAACCTTTTTGAAAAAATAATTTCATTTGTTGATAAAAAGGCTTTAGTTATATCCAATTACAAATAGTAAAGAAATTCTTCAAATGATGTAAACACAATGTTTTATGGTAGTTTGATGAATTAATGATATAAATAATAGAGGAGTATAGCTTAAATAATAACTTACAAATAATTCAGATTTTTATATATATTTATTAAATGTTTATGTTCCAAAAAATAATTGGTTGAATTAAGAATTATGTTGTTTATATCTTAATAGATAAAGAAAATTATATTGAAATATATTGTTGGTCCAATACCTTTTTAGTATCTTAATCAAAACCAATTAAAAAGGGAATTTGTTTTAGAGGGATTTTCCAATAGAGGGTATTTAAGAACTTTGACACTCATAAAGAATAAAGAAAAAAATTAATTCAAAATTCAACTTCTAATTACATTATCTTTTTAAATAATACTAATTGAAGTTTTTATGGTTTAATCTACTTAATTTTTAGTTAAAATGTATAATTTTAGATTTTGTCAATTTCATGTAATTTTGAATGTTTTTGATAATTATTCTGTTAGTTATCACACCTTTTATTTTTTGCCTTTACTTCACATGAAAGAAACAAAAAAATTTACTTCACTAATTTCCTATTTTTTAAGTAACAATATAAGTTAAAGTTATGCACTACCACTTATTCATTATATTTAACCTTTTCTCATCATGTAATAATGATAATTACATCAAAACCTAAACAAATAAAAAATAACCTTTTATTTTATGAACGATCTTTGACACAATAATTTAAATTAGTTTTATAACCATGTTAAGTTAATTAGCATTGTTCCATTCATTATTTGTATTTTTTTTTAATGTGAGTTTTTATTGTATAATACATAAATTTATTTTTCATTCAAATAAGTTTTAGACACAAGTAATACATTACTATGTTTTTTTTTCATTAAAATAGATAAGTTAATTATGTAGATATTTGAATAAATATATAGGGGTAATTGAAAATAACTCACAAAATGAAGAGATTTGTATAATCCTTAGACATTTTCTCAATTTATTTAAAAAAAGACTTTTTTCTTTCTTTATATTTCATACAGTAATAAATAATAAGATAAATGGAAGAAATTGATAAATATTATTACTTTTATGTGATTAATATATTATATATATTTTATGAATAATAACATGTTTAAGATATAATATACATACTATTATACATAAAATAAATCATTAAATTTGTAGTATTTTTTCTTTATCACAAAATTTCTTTTTCTTAATTAATTAGAGGAGTTTATTTAAATAGAGTATTATAGCTAAATATTTTCGTTTATTGACCCATTATATTTTTAATCTTTTTAAACTTCATTTTAAATAATCATATTATTATAATATTTTAATAAAAATAAATTTATATTTTCTTTTCAAAACATAATTCCATTTCTAAATATTATATATTATTGTGATTATATTAGTTTATCCTTTTATTTACATTGTTTGTAGAATTACAAATAATTTTGTTTTATATGATAAATCGTTCTTAATAAGTTGTACAATTTTTTATATCTATCATTCAATTTATTACAAGTAATTTTTTCAACTTAGTTTAAAGCAAAAGTTATTAAAGATGATAGTATTGAATTTATCTGTTTGTTTTTTAAATATCTTAAAAAAAAAATGAAAAATATATTTTTAAATATTTTATTTTTAATTTCTTAAATAAAATGAAACAAAATATTTTTACTATTTGATTCAAAATTCATTGTTGATCACTTCATTTCTTAATTTATTTAAAATATCAGCATATTTCTTTTTGATTTGAGGTCTTCTTAATTTAAAAGATGGGGTTAGTAAATTATTTGCCTCACTAAATGGAGTTAATTCAATATAAATATTTTTAAGAACTTCATAGCCTGGAACTCCTTTGTTTCTAATATGATTTTCTAACTCTTTCATAACACATTGTCTAACATCTTTTCTTTCGACAAAGCTTTTAAGTTCTTCGTCAGAATTACCTTGATATTCACATTGCGTTTGAAGGAATTTAATAAATTCAATTTTTTCTGGAACTATTATACCAACAATGAAAGTGTCTGTACTTTCTCCATAAATAAACACGTTTTGAAGTAAAGGGTAAAGTCCATACAAATTTTCTAATGGCTCAACAGCAATATACTCTCCTTGTGCTAATTTAAATAAATTCTTTTTTCTATCAATAATACTAATTGATCCATCATAATTAATTCGTCCTACATCACCAGTACAAAAATATCCGTCATCAGTAAAAGATGCCTTAGTCATAGCTTCATCTCCATAATATTCCTTAAATATTTGTTTCGCTTTAATTTGAATTTCTCCAGTTGGTTCTTCATCATGAACATCATAATCCATATCAGGAATACTAACAAGTCTCATATGACAGTCAATACAAGGTGACCCAACTGACGTATGGTTATCATCATGAAGACCTGGAGCAGCAGTACAAAATCCTCCAAATGACTCAGTTAAACCATACCCTTGGAAAATCTTTGCACCAGTACAGACTCTTAACCATTGGAAGAGGTCTTGTGTTAAAGGAGCAGATCCATTTAAAATAACATCTAATTGACCACCTAACATTTCTTTGATTTTATTGAAAATAATAGCATCCCAATTTATTAATGTTGTAGTATTATCATGTACAGCACGGCTCTTATAATAATAAGCAATTTTATAGACAGTATTTGCAATACAAGAAGCACTAACAGTTTCAATAAATTTGTCATAAATTTTTTGAAGTACCCGAGGAACAGTAATAAGAAAAGTTGGATGAAGATGTTGGAAATCATCCACAAGAGTTGGAATTCCACCAGAATTAAATCCAACAGCACCATATCCATATACAAATGATAATACAATTTGTTGGTCATAAACATGAGCTGATGGTAAATATGAATAATTAATTTTACCTTTTAAAACAACGTCTTTATCAAAATATCCACAAGAACAAAAAGACCATACAGCGTTATTAATAGTTCTATGGGTATGAACAACACCTTTAGGATTTCCTGATGTTCCTGAAGTAAAAATAACAGAATAAGTATCATCAATAGAAGGAAGATCAATAGCAACTGGATGATTTTGTCCAAAATTAAGAATTGCTTCATATGTAAGAATATTAAGATCTGATGGAACCTCTTCAAGTTCTTTTTCAGTTAATTTATCGAATGCAACAAGTTTTAAACTAGGATTCTTTTCAGCAAGTTCAATACCTTTACTTATTGGAGAACAAAATAGATACTTTAATTCTAATTTTTTGACAATATAATCTAACGCATCAATACCAAATGTTCCATACATTGGGATTATGATAATTCCTTGTCTTTGCATAGCAAATTGAAGAATATACCATTCATATCTATTTCTTGTCATAATACCACAAGCATCTCCTTTCTTTAAATGTAATAAATTAACTAATCCTCCAGCAACAGAATCAACAAGTTGAAGAGTCTGTGGTCCATTTATCCATTCATAATCACCAAATCTTCCATTAGTCTTATGCCTATATCCAAAGACAGGTTCTTCTGGAAACCTATCAACACGAGCTTTAAGCATTTCATAAGGTGTTTTTTTATTAACCTCTTCTTGGGTAATATAACAGTCTGTATTCCATAATTTAGTTTTATTCTCAAAGTAAAGTTTGTCACCTTCAACATGGATATGATCCATCGAATAAGTAGGTTGAGCCATATCAAAATTAAATGAATATTAAGTTAAAACGTAGAACTTATTATTATATTAATTACAAGCAATATCTTCCTCTTTTACTTTAAATTCACTTTTTATCAGAGAAAAAAAGAATCGATTATATTGTTCATACTTTAATTGGTATTTTTCGATTTGTTTTCTCCACATAATCCTTACGTAATTGTATGATATTTTTATAACAACAAATCATTGAAATGATTAAAGTATTCAATTATCAAATAATGCATTTGAATAACTATCAATTGATAATCCATGTGGACATCCCATTCCTTTAAAATTCCAAAAAGTAAATACATCTTTAAGAGCAAATAAGAAATTTCCCCAATACCCTCGTTCTGGTTCTCCTTCTTTCTTTTTATCAAGATATAAAGCAACTTCTTTAATTTGTACTACTGCAACACTCTTTAATGGGAATACTACTGGTGAGACACAGTCCAAATAGATCATTTCAATTAAAAACACAATACCAGCAACACGTGACTCATAATCTACTGGTTTAAGATCTAATCCAGTAAAGAGATTAAGGAAATGTTGAATTCCAGGATTCTTTGAAATTATTAATCCAATAATAAATTCTTGTATTAAATTAAGGAACATAGCAACTTTAATCCATAAAAATATTTGAACTGGTCTTACTGCAACTACTGCTTTTGAAATACATCTAAAGAAGAATAACAATACCCACAAAGCAACAAACATACTAAATAACCCATATAATCTCAAAAACACTTTTGGTCCTTCCCTTAATAAATTAAATTGAACTAAAACAGCTTTAAGAATGGAAAGAATGGGTTTTTGAATAGCAAATTGATAAACACATATCTTTGTTATTAATAACATTTTTTTAACACCAGGAACAGGAACATTACAACAACATAAACGGTTAACTCTTGGAATTAAATGAGAAACACATCTAGTTAAGCAAGGAGCTTCTCCACAACTTGACAATAATAAGAAATAAAATGTTAAAACAACATAAACTTCATAGAAATCTCTTGCTAATTGTAAGAAAACAATATACCTATATCTAACAAAAAGTTGGCAATATGACACAATAGCATTAATAGGAATCATAAAGAGTAATCTAACATAAAATTTTTGAATAAACCCTTGATGATAGTTAAAAAGATGTTGAAAGATTAAAAAATTAGATGGAATAAATACCATTAAGAATACTGGTAATAATAATGATGGAACAAAAGCTCGAAATACTTCTTCATTAGGATTATCTGAATTATTTGATTCTGTTCCAAGGAGTAAATTGAATAGATCTTCCATGAGATGGATTTATAAGATGATTCAATTCTTTTCTGAAAAAGTCTTTCATATTGAATTTTCAAAAAAAGGTTTTTGTTTTCAAAGAAATTTAATTTAATTAATTGTTTACATTTAATTTGATAACCAAAACTGGAAGTTTTGAAAACTATGATTTAATCATTTTTTGTTACTTCATATTTGTTAGGAAGATATAAAATAATCAGAGAAATTCCCCCAATAATTGTTAATGAAATTAAAAAGAAAAACATCACAGCAACAACATGAGACTCATTTCTTGATATACATACTATTGGAGATGTCATTTTGCTTTAATTATAAGTATTTAGTATATAAAAAAAATTATTAACTTAATAACAAACATTGAGAGAGTAGAATTGTCTATTGTAAATGATTCAACTTTTGTTTCACCTTCTTTTGAACAATGAACTTCTATTATTGTAAATTGACTCCATTTAAAAGGTTGGTTGTATTTAAACGTCACTTGATCTCTTGTTGTTGAAATACTTTGAGTTGAAACCAAAGAATAAGGAATTGGTTCATTCTGTCCTTCTTGTAAAATTACGTTATACAAACGAGTATTATTAAAGTTAAAAGGTTCACAAATATTAATCCATAACATTGTATTATTTTTATAAAATTTATAAGTTTCACCACTATTAGTAAGTTAATTTGAATAAAAAAAATTGAAAGACAGAATATCGAACTTTGGTTTTATCAGAGAAGAAAAGTCATAAATGCCATCAAAACAAGGATAACGTGCCCAGATAATTTGTATAGAAAAAAATAGTAATAGAATCATTGTCTTTATTTCTAAGTAAATTAATGAATATAAGATTTTAGATTATTTCTAATCAAAATGAAAATCAAAAAAAATATCAGACACGTCGAATCTACATATAATCTTTCAGTCCGCCCGACGTATAAGTCATCATCTACTATGGAATTTGAAATTTATATAAGTAAAAATTTATTGGTTATGAAATAAAATTATGGAAAAAATAATCAGGGTATACAAAACTTAAAAAAGAAATAACTTAAAAGTTAGTAACAAAAAGTATCATTATTAATGAAGATTAAATGTTTAATGATAGATCATGATGATACAGCTGTTAATTCTACAGAACTTATTAACTATCCTTGTTATGTTGAATTTATGAAAAAGTATTATTCAGATAAACCAATTCTTACAATAGAAATGTGGTATGAAGTGTTATGGAATATTGGGTTGGTAGAATATTATAAAACTGAAGTTGGACTAACTGATGAGATGCTTCAATTTGAACATAGTTATTGGAAAAAGTATATTTCTGAAAAACCTCGACCACCATTTTTTGATGGTTTTATTGATTTACTTAAACGTTTTAAAGAACAAGGAGGAATTGTTGCTGTTGTTTCTTTTTCTTCTAAAGAAGTTATTCTTAAACATTATAATGAGGCTACTAATGGAGAATTTATTCCTGACGAAATTTTTGGTTATCAACATGGACATCCTGAATTTTCTAAACCTAATACTTATCCAATTGAACAACTTATTAAGAAGTATGGTTTTAAACCAGAAGAAATGGTAATGGTTGATGACATGAAAGAAGGATTAATAATGGCAAGTCGAGTCAAAGGTGTTAAATCAATTGGAGTTCAATATAGTGAAGGTCATGGAAAAACAATTGATCAAATGAAAGAGTATTGTGATTTTATTGCATACAAAGTAAGTGATATTGCTGAATTTATTGGACTTACAAGTGAAGAATAATTTATTTATCTTTTCATTTACCAAATATTTTGATTTTATTCATAACATTATATATTTTTGTTATTAATAACATCATTATAATATAATTATTTTTAAATAACACTTAATGACAACAAAAAAGATGCATAAAATGGAAATTGAAAAAGTTCAAATAATTGATATTTAAGTGAATAATCAAAAACTAATAAACTTTAACTTTAAAATTGAATTATACTATGGAGTTCAAAGATCCTTATAAACTTGTTGAACAAATTTTTACACCTTTATCTCATTGTATTCCAGAAAGTTTTAAAGCAGAGAAAAAGAGTGCTGGATATGGATTTTTTTATGGGATATTCCAAACTACTATTGAATCAGCTTTCTTTGGTCAAGTTATTAATTATTCATTTTTAACTCATGAAGCACATAAAAAATATAATTGGAACCCAACTATTGTTTATAAAACATTTCCAAAAAATTTAAATAATTTAATTCCATACTATTCCACTACTCGTGCTCTTCAATGTGGTTATCCAAAAACACAAAAAAGAAATTGGATAATTAGAACATTAACACCTATTATTGTTCTGCCATATGAACATATTTTATCATTTTTTACTCATAAATTAATTCCAAGTATTCCAAGGCCAATTTGTTCAGTGTATCAAAACATTATTCCATTTACTATGATGGAATTAATATTAGAAACTTCTTCATCAATTAAGCCAACTATTCAAAAAGCATTAAATTGTATTGTTTCAAATGGATGGGCACAATTAGGAACTGCTGCTATTGGAAATGCATTTGGTTATTTAATGAACCACCCAGCATTTATTATTAATACTTTTATGAAACAACATCCTGAAATGGGATTTATTCAATCAGTTAGATATATTTCTGCTACTAAAGGAATTAAAGGGTTTTATGCTGGTTCAATTCATAGATGTACTAGAGCAGCCCATTCAGCAGCTGTTACAAGTCTTGCTGGTGTTGCATTTGATACTTTATTCTTGAAAAAGAATAAACAAAAACCAGTTTCTAAAAAGATGAAACATTTCTGGCTTTTTTAATAATAGAAAGAAATTCTTTGAGAAGTTCAATTATTAAATCAAAAAGTGAAAAGAATAAATTGAATTACTTTTTTTCTTCATCAATAGTTCATTTAGTATTTGATAAAATAAATTTAATAAATCTGCGACTATAGTGACTTGGTGAAACACTAGAAACTTGATCAGCTCCTCCTGCAGCAACTCCTTTTACTACAGTTTCTAACTTTTTTCTCGCTGTATAATCCATTAAAATATCTATTATTCCTAAATAATATAATTCACCTGTAAGTTCTCCTTTACTATTTCGTGCAAGTAACCCCCCTTCATAATCAGTAAAAATAAAGTCTGCTGGTTTAGGTATTTCTAATGACTGTAAAAATTCTTGGGCATCAGCAACTTTATCACTTTTCTTTTTACGACTTTTTGTTAACGAGGCTGAATCTTTATTGGTTAAGTTTTTATCAACTCTTTGTTCTGTAAATACTGTAGATGCCCTAGGTCGTTTAACTACTTGCTTTAACTCTTCTTTTGTTGACTTTGTAGTTTCTATACTTTTGGTTGATGATGTTTCTGTTGCTTCGTTTTTGCTCACTGATTGTGTTGATGTAATTGAACTTAGAGCTACTGATGATTCACTTTTCTTTGATTCCTCTTTTGTCTCTGTTTCAGTTGTTTGTTTAGACTCTTCTTGTTTAGACTCTTCTTGTTTAGACTCTTCTTGTTTAGACTCTTCTTGTTTAGATTCTTCTTGTTTAGATTCTTCTTGCTTAGACTCTTCTTGCTTAGACTCTTCTTGCTTAGACTCTTCTTGCTTAGACTCTTCTTGTTTAGACTCTTCTTGCTTAGACTCTTCTTGTTTAGATTCTTCTTGTTTAGATTCTTCTTGTTTAGATTCTTCTTGTTTAGATTCTTCTTGTTTAGATTCTTCTTGCTTAGACTCTTCTTGCTTAGACTCTTCTTGTTTAGACTCTTCTTGCTTAGACTCTTTTTCTTCAGTTTCATTACTTCCACTTTCATCATGTTTTTGAGCTGGTTCTCCTATAATATTATCGTTTGTATTTATTATTTGATCTTTAGCTTCTTCTTTTTCATCACGTTTTCTTTCTTTATCATTTTCTATAACTTTTTCTTTTTTTGTTTTATTTACTTCAATACCAAGTCTTTTACAAGCAACTTCTAATTCTTCTTCAGTTAAATTATGAACGCCAACAAGCATACTATAATCAATAAGATGCATTTTAGCCATTAGTCCACTATCTTTTTCCACCTGTTCTTTAAAAGGTTGAAGAAGTTTTGGTCCGATATGTATTTCAGCTTTTTGTTCGACAAAATCAAGGTCTTTAAAACAAGGAGATTTTTTGTTTCTTTCTTTTTCGTTAGCCTTTCGACCATACATAGAACCTTTTAAATCAAATTTATATTGAAGAGGGAAGTTATCATTAGGAAATAGATTATTCATAACAACATAACGATATTCCTCATCTTTTTGTGGTTTGATTCTAAACATACCATAAAACCTAGGAATAAGAGTCTGTGGATTTTCTTGAATATAAGAGAAGTATAATGGAAAAATTTTACATAAAATCTTTTCTTCTCTTTTTGGAATAACTTTAATAACAAATTTATGATCTTTTGTAAACATAAACAATGATCCACTCTTTCCTGATCCTAGATTAGGTGGTGTTAAATTCCCTTCTCCACAAATTGATTCAATCATTGATTCTGGAGTTAATCCAAAAAATCTCCTAACAATTGCAAATGCCATTGGTGAATATTCTTTAGCTACATATTCTCCTACTTCTTTTGGTGTTGTCATTTCATTGTCTTTTTGACCACAAATATCTTTTCCTCCTTTTTTAGTGAATTTAGTGAATGGATATGTCTTAAAAATATACTTTTCATTCTTTAATTCAGGTAATGTTTTTCCTTTATATTTTTCAAAATCATTATCACTTACATGAACTTTACTTAAATAATATTTTACTTGATGTTGAATACCTAAAACTAGAGCCATTGCTGTTTGTGAAATTTCTTTTGTTTCAACGCTCATACTCGATGAACTTACTTTTTTAGTTCTTGATTATTTAAAAATAGATTATTCAAAGGAATTAAAATTTAAAATAAAAAATAAAAATAATTGTATTAAAAATATTTTTTAATTTTCTTTATTAATTGAGAATTAAAGAATATTAATATTTCTTTTACCTTTGGATTGATGGCATATTCTGAATTTTTGAACAACACTTAACATTAATTCTATAACATCTTTTGTTAAGTTAAACTTTTTGTTTAAAAAAAAAATAAAATCCAAAACTGAATTTATTCTTTCTTTCTCATAAAAATTTATCTTCTTAAATAGAAATTTAAGACATAAACTGAAAAGTAACTTTATAAAAAGTTTCAATAACATTTTCTAATATAAGGTAATGGGATTAGTGTTATTAAAGAATTTTTTATTTGTATGTTATTGAGTTGTGCACAATTCTAATAATAATAATTCAATATGATAATATAAAGTCTTTTTAAAAAAAAGTTTGTATGAATAGAATTGCCCAAAAATGATTTAAATTATGGTTTTGATACAATGCTTTATGTGATGAGCAAAACCATTCAAACCCTAACCCAGAATGAAAATATAAAATAAGAAAATTCTAACTAATAGATTTTTGTATTAACCTTTTTAAATAAAATACAAAACATAAATATTATGAAAGATCTTATCTATCAAAATTTTTAGATTGTTCTAAATGAATACATTTATCATTCTTTATTGTTTACTTGCTTTTGTTAATGCCTTTGATGACTCTAGTTCATTTGATAACTCTAGTTCATTTGATAACTCTAGTTCATTTGATAACTCTAGTTCATTTGAAGAATCAAGTGAAATGTATGGAACTGAGTTTTGGGTTTCCATTGGATGTATTGTTGCTCTTGTTGGACTGATTTGTAGCCTTATTATAATATTCGCTATTATGATTGTCGTAAGAAAATACAGACATAAAAATGAAGAGTATTTTGCTATCAATTGAATAAATTATTAGTCATATTTACTGTTTTATTAAAAAGAAGATATGGTTGTAGACTTAATTAAGATTAGACTCTTATTTATTAGGTATTATGCTAATAAAAGTTATTATTCTTTTTGTAGATATACTGAGACAAAAACTGAGTCTTTGATTAAATTTAGTAAAAAGATTTTATTACTCTATATACAAACTTCTTTTAGTTAAAATTCAAAAGAGTAAAAAAACAATAAACAAATACAAAAAATAATCAATTGCCTTTTATTTTAAATGTGTATAATTCTGATATTCTTTCGTTACATGTTTTGAAACTAATTTTGAAAAATTTTTTTCTAAAAATAAAATGTTTGAAAGGTTCTAGAGTAAAGTCAAGAGTATTTCTTCAACTATCCAAGTCTTATAACTTTGTATAATTCTTGAATTTAATAATAATAACAAAAATAATATATATTTTTAATATTACCAAAACATGTCTAAATAATTAAAAAGAACAAAACAAGATAAACAATGAAGAGATTTTAAATAAAAATTCAATCAATTCAATCGTATGTTTAGTTTTGGGTTGTCATTTCAAACCATTGTCTCAGTGCTTCAGCTAAAACATTCGGTAAAGTGTTTAAGTCATGAAGAATAATGTAGTGAGGGAATGGGAAAGTATCCATATAATGTTCTACATTAACTTGTCCATTTTCAAAGTTAACACTTTTCATTTCAAGAATTGATTCGTTTGAAGGATTGTCTAAGACAATGAAAACAACAAAAGTTTTCATTGAAGAGAAGTCTCTTAGTATTTTAGAAATACCTTTTTTGTCAGAGAATCGTCCATCTGAGAGGATAAAAATAATTTGTTTAACATCCAGTTCAATAGAAGGGTTATATCGTTGACAAACAAGTCCACTCTCATGTAAATAGACATACAAAGACTTCATTAATTTAACCATGTCAGTATTATTTTGGTTAAATTGGAATTCTTTAACAATTCTTGCTCCATCTTCTTCATTAAATGTTGTTCCAAACTTTTGAACACATTTTACATCTTCTCCGAATCTAACAACACTTAATTCCCCTACTTCTAATTTAGTTAATGCACTAGACAATAAAGCAACTGTCTCTAATGCCATTTCACCAGCATTATTTATAATCATTGATTGAGAGTCATCTATTGCAACTAATATTTGATAGTCTCTTTTCTGTGCTCTTGTTCTTCTAAGCCAAATTTTATCCTTTTTAAATCCAGAAGCAATATATGGAATTACTTTCTTCATATTAATTTTCTTTCCAGTTCTATAGTCTCCTTTCATCTGACTTGCTAATGATGGTTCTAACACAATTCTTAATTTCTCACATAATTCCATAGCAGACTGATTTGTTTTTGATTCATACATACTCCATTGTTGTTTTTCACTTTCACCTATCTCAATTATCTTTTCTTCATTAATTTCATCAATAAGTTGTTTCTTCTCTCCTTCTTCAATAACCATCTCTTTGTCATTTGTATTTTCTTTAAATGCAACATTAAAAATGTTATTTTTCTCAGTTGATTCCTCAATAACACGTTCTCTTATATATTGTTCATTAACTTTTTCTTTTTCAACAACATCATTAGTATCTTCTTCCATTATTCCATCAACTTGTTGATTTTCTTTCATATCTTCTTCTTTTCTTTCTTTCTTTTCAATCATATTCTTCTTTTCACCTTCTCCAGTTTTTTCTTCTTCCATCTTTTCAATATTCATTTCTTCTTTAGCTGGTGCTATTGTTTGTTGTTGAGCTGTTTCATCAACAACATATTCATCTTTGTCATCTCCACTTTTCTGCCCATCAACCACCTTTTGTTCTTCTGTCATTGTGAGGTCTTCAATATGATTCTGGGTATCACCATTTCCTTTCTTTTCTTGTTGGACTTTTCTTAACTCTTGTTGTTCTTTCTTTGAATTACCATTAACATGACCTTCACCATCTCCAACTTTTGTATTATTTTCTTCATTATTTCCACTTCCTTCTCCTTCCTTTTGTTGTGTTGAATCAATTTTGGCATTACTTTTCATTCCAGTATTTTCTTCAACACCATAAGCATCCATTGGAGTATGTTCTGCTTCAACCTCTTCATTGTTCTTCCGTTCTTCATTCATATCACCTTTTCCATTGTCTTGGTTTTGGTTCATATCACCAGCAAGATCTTGTTCAAGTTCTTTTGTTTCTACCATATCTTCATTTTCTCCATCTGCTTTTTCTTCTTCAACACTTTTTGCTTCTTCATCTGATTTATTTAGTGCATCAATATCGAATTGATCACCTTGTTCTTCTTCTTCATTTTCATTATTATTTTCTTCTTCAATTGACATATTTTCTTCACCTTCTTCATTCATTTTAAATTCATCATCTTCACCTCCTTCTTCTTGATTTTCTTCTTCAATTTGTTCTTTACCAGGAAGTGTTTGAAGTTTTTCAGTTTCTTCTACATCTTGACCCTCTTCTTGTTGTTCTTCTCCTTTCTCTTCTTTTTCATCATTGCCTTCTTCCATTGCTTGTTCTTGATGTTCCTCCTTCTTCTTTTCTTTCTCTTCTTTGACATTTCCTTCTTCTTCGCTTCCCATACCTTCTGCCTCTCCTTTCATTCCTTTACCAATAGCATTTTCTTCTTCCATTGATTTATCATTATCTTCTTTATCCCACATCTCAGCATCAACAATTTCTCTTTTGTCTTTATCAACATCACCCATTATTTGGTCTCTGTCGACATCTTCTTCTTCTTGGTCTTTGTTGTTGCCATCTTCATTTGGCTCTTCATCATATTCCTCTCCATCAAAATCATCTTGCATGTCAAACCCTTTATCCATGTCTTGTTTTTCATCTTTGTTTTGTTCTTGTTGTTTTTCTCCTTTTAATCCAGTTAATTGTTCTTGGTCTTTAATCTCTTTACTAACGTCGTTTATTCCTTTACCTTCAGCCATACCAACTCCGTCTGTAATAAATTCTTCTCCTTTTTCTTGTTTACCATCATCCTCTTTTTCTTCTTGATTACAAAATCCATCTTTATATAATGTACCAAATGTATTAAGACACATAACAGTAAACTTTCTCACTGATTTATGGATATGAAGTGAAGTAATATAATGATCTTCAAGTACATGTTCTACGTTTGTTAGTAATTCTTTCATATATTTTGTATTTGTTGTTAAACAATTCTCAGTCATTTCTTTAAGGTTATTATGAACACCATTTCCAGCAAGAATAAATGAATGAATAGATGGGAATGAATCATTTTCTTCTTCATTTAATTGAGAAGATGCTTTAAACAAAATTTGACAAGTAATTAAACATTCTTCAAGCATTTCATTAATTTTATTTGAAGAACTAAATTCTTCTTCAATGGTAGTGTCTATTTCTTTCAATGATTTCAAAATCAATAAGACATTTTGTGAATTATTAAATCCAATATTCTTAATTTCTTGTTCAATTACAGAAATCATATTTTTTCCGTCATTGGTCATTGACTTAATATTTTCAATCATTTTAGTTGTCATAAAATGATTTCCTTCTAACACTGTTTCTTCCATTATATTTTTAAATACTTCTCGATTCTTTTGAATTTTTTCTTTCATTCCATTAAACTTTTCTCTTAAACTTTCCTCAACAAGAATACTATCTTCTAATACATTTTCTATTCTACTCAAAAACACATAATTTCTGAGTAATGTTAAATGACTAACTTTACTAAATTTTTCTTCATCATGACTAAGAATAGATAATACTTTCTTTAAATAATTAACAAAGTTCTGCATCTTTCTAATTTCACTACTTTGTTTCATACACATATCATAGAGATTATTAACATAATTTTGAGTATATTCAATTTCTTTTCCATTAAGATCATTTGAAGCATTAATTTTTACTTTATTAAATAATTGGAATTTACTAATTGTTTTAAAATGATATTCATTAATTTTTTGAATTAATGGAATATTTCCTTCAATTTTACATGGCTTTCTCAATACCATTTCTAATGAAATATCATCTAAATTAA